ATCGGTATAGGAGTATGCATATAGGAGGCAGTCAGCATGCTAGTGATGACAAGAGACGGGACCAGTTACCAGGCTAGTGGTAATAAACATGATTTGACAAATGTATTTGGAATTAAATGTATGTATGAGTTTTGGGTTACAAATGTCTTTTCATTTATAAAATTATTTGTGAAAATGAGTGGTGTTTTTGGGTTATTTATAAATGTCTATTCATTTATAAAATTCTTTGTGATCATGAGATCATTTTGTTTAAATGATTATGTGAGAGAAATTGGGGTACAATTTGTTGTACTTATCTATGTATCAAAATTAATTTTTTGTATATAAACTGTTAGATTTATTTTCACACCTCATTAAGAGGTAGTTTATATTCACAGGTCATTGTACTTATACAAACATTTAACATTTTTCAGGTGAGGATTAGGGTGAAAAGTAAATCCATAGAGAGACAAGGAATTAGAGGAATTGAAAATTTATTTTATTGTAGATCTTCAAGAATAAATGTCTTTTGTAATTTTGAGACAAGTATTTAATTATTTTACGAATAATGTAACTCATGTTTAGAGTAGTTAACCTTATGGTTTAATCATTATTTTACATGGGTTTAGTAATAATATTGGTGATGTTTAGTTTATTCTTCTAATATTCATTAGGTCGACGTATTGATTCACTTTATTATTTGTCTTCCATTGTATTTTGCATTTATTATGCACAGAGTTTATTGGTTAAGGCCTTGGTGGCCAGTCCGCGGCCCACCCAACGTGATCCTGGGTGAAGGTGTGACAAGTTTGGTATCAGAGCCTAAGTTTATGAATTATTAGAGGATTAGGTGGAATTTGATTAGTTATGTAAGGTTTAATTGATTTGGTAGAGGGATGTGGAATGATGGTATTAGTGTATAGTATTATTGCTTTGGTGACTAAGACAAGTTAGTTTGCATGGTATTTTGTAAAAAGTATAGATGACTACAAGAAAGAAAGAAAAGGGTGCTACAAATGATAGGGCTGCCACTAACGAGTATGCGTACCTAATGATCCAGAGATCAAGAAGCAAGTGATGGAGGAGGCCCATTACTCTCGTTTCACAGTTCATCCGGGAAGTACGAAGATATATCGAGACCTGAAAGAGATATTTTGATTGAATAATATGGTGGAATAATATTTTGATGACCCCAGTTCTGATTGCACTTTTTGGCTGGCGCTCTCTTTTATATCCTATTTAGTTTATATATGTACTTTTATATTGCACGCTCAAGTGATTTGTCTTGCCTAGGAAATATGTGAATTCACAAGGGCAAATCTTCGCGGGGCTTTGTTTGTTGGAGCTAATCTTCAAAGTGCAAACTTGCAGGGCAATTTTTTCTCCTTGTGTTGATTATTTCTCTATTGTCTTTATATCATCTTTTTAAGTCTTTAAGACATGTATGGAAATTAGTACCGGAGTGGCTATCGGACACGTACTATAATTGGAGCTTGAGTTAGCGGGGTTCCAACAACAAACATATATCCTACAGTTTTTAAATTGTGGCTTTATGTTTGAAACTTATGAGGCTAAACACCTTTGGTGATGGGATAGCTCTAAAAGTACTCAACTTATTGTTTGACCAAAGTTTTTTGTAATTTCCTCCCAGTTCTCTCCCTAAAAATTATGAATATTTGTATATTCGTAAATGTGCATCTGTCATTTGTTCTATTTTCTCTTGCTATGGAACTTCTTTCTCTACCAGATTTTCAATTTTTGGTCTGCTTGACCACATTTGTTGTAGAAGAACCAACCTTCTGCACTCTAGATATTTCTTCTCTCCCCCCCTCTCTCTCAACCTTCTACACATTTGTTGTCAAAAAGTTTTTTCTCCTGTTATAGGAGTGGACATAATGCATTACTAGCATGATAAATGTCATATGGGAAAGTGAAAGTGATGAAAGATAGAGTTGTCCTTTTCTATTCTTCTGATACCTATATATATGAATCAAGGGTGAGAGGTAGGGTTAACAATTGGATTGGCCCCTTTTCACAATTCTAGTCGTCTTTCTTTCTCTATAACAACTATCCTAAACTTGACAATGGTAAACTAGTTTACAACTAATAACTATGTTCTTCCGTTTCTTGTTTGGTTTGGCTGGGTCTGCGTGGGGGCACTTGTTTCTTTTTGGGAACTCGATGGCCTTGGACCCCCCCAAGTTTTTTTTTTGGGAAAAGAATAAGACCTATTGATTCCTTGTCTTCAGTTATCCATAGATGCATTGGTAGGGTCACTTCTTTCTTTTTGGGGAACTAGGAAGCATTGTCATGCCTTATTTTTTGGAATAAGTTGTGTTTGTCTCCTGTCTTCATTTATTCATATAAGTTGTCTCCAACCTAAGTAAAGACCAGAAACACAATGGATATTTTAGTATTGATTTTTTTTTATAGCCACCCAATGTGAGTGGGAGGTTTGGCAGGACCCCTACCTGTATATATCTAAAAAGAAAAAAGTACAAGAGAGGGAGACAAAGAGCCAAGTCTCCATAAGTACAAGGTGGGAGGAAAAGTCAAAAGTACAAAGTGGGATCAATTTTGGTGTCTTTTGTGATAACGAAGAGTGCTATTGGATGAATAGGTGGAGTGGCTACTACAAACTTGGCGTTCACATTGTCTCCCATAAAGGTCAGGAGGAATGACACTTAGTACGCTAAGTGATCTTCAAAATTTTAATTTGCATCTTGAAAGATTAAAAATTTGCCGATTGCACACTCAATCAAATAAAAATATAGTAATGTTGTCCAAAATCATATGTACGTTGCTTTTTTGACAACTTTTTTTTGAAAACTTCAACTGATTTGCTTCAGAATAGAATTTCAATTGCCCATCAATGAATCATGTATCATATGGTGTAGAAGTTACGATGAGCACCCCCACCCCCACCCCCTCGGCACAAAAGAAGCTTTTCTTTTCATCCATTAAGCCTTTTAATGATGTTAAGTTTGAATTAATTAAATGCTCGCAATTTCATGACATCATATGGTGCTAAAGTTAAAAAAAAACCATTTCCAGATATCATGAATCACAAAAAAAATAGGAAAATGAATTGTGAAAACTCAGATATTAAAAGTAAATTTTCCCTATCCAATGTAAACAAGGCAAATTGATGCTACTTTCTATTGAGGGTCACTTCATACAAGATAGGGATAATGTTGGCATAATTATATTAGTGAGGAAAAAAAAAGATATTCGCAACACCAAGTTCTATTCAGTGTTGAATACAGGAATTCTTTCATAATCTTCCAGCAATTAAAAATAATAAGTTAGAGGTACTCAAGAAAAAAAGCAAAAAATTGAGACTCCACCAATACTTTGAACCTAGTTTCTTTCAGTTGGAATTTTATAAAATGTAGAAATGTTTTAAAACTCTTAGGTGGTGGCCCAACATTTTGATGAATTTCTTCAGGAGCAGTTGGGCACTAAAGTGAAATGAATCCACTGCCAGTTAGGCACCAAAGTAATGCCAATGGCACCCACACTCACTAATCTATACCCACTAGCCGTTTGATATAAGGCTACCACCTCCACTCACAAAATACACACTGACTTGCACTCTTATCTGTCAATGGATTGAATTTTGATCCGAATCTGATTAGTCGAATATGAATTATTAATTTTTACCTATTATCCAAATCTATTATGTTATATTTAATGGATTCGGATATGAATTTATCAAATTTGATCCGAATTGTATATATACCTTTTATTTTTATATTTTATATCCCGTGTGAGTTTATATACATCGATAACTTTTCATCTGCAACATTTTTTTCCTTTTTTCTTCTACTTCACTATTTATAACTAAAATTGAGGTTAGTATATTTAATTTATGTTGCTTGTTAAGGCTTCAAATGAGTAATCATTATAATTTTTTGGTTCTAACGAGCTAAATTTGTTAAAATTTGTGAGATATTTGTAGGTTGATTTTATTTTGTACACAAACAAATCGGATCGAATTTTTGAATTGGATATCCGAAAGTTAATGGATTCGGATATGGATTACAATTTTCAAATCTGTCGGATAATCGGGTCGGATCGAATCACGTAAATTATATTCGGATTCGGATATGATAGAATTTAGCCCATATCAAATCCGTTGACAGGCCTACTCTTATTTCCCCTCTTATATATCTCTCTCTTTTACCAATTTGTTATTATTATATATTATGTATTTTTTTAGATTCTTGATATTTTAGGCAACAAGATCAAGACTTGATAATTTTTCTCTATCGTATGTGCCCGATGTGAAGAGTGGCTGCTAGCTTGGGATTGTATCTTAAAGATTTCATTGCCAATAATATGTGCACGTAGGGAGGCCACAAGAGCTTTAGGACAACGTTTTATACACCTCTCCAAATCGAAGGTGATCACTTTATTTGCTTTTATCTCAATTCTTTTTCAATTATATATTTATTTGTGAGCTATATAATTTTGTGGTAAATATTTTACTAGTATTGATATAATTTAAATCTATATTTCTCCAACAAAATTAAACGGTGGCCACCATTTTCTCGAATTATAATTTACGTCAAACTAATTTTTGTACTAAGAGACCCGTAAATCTGAAACAAAATAAAGTATTTAGAAGCATACAAGTCCCCAAAAAAAGATGAAATTTTTTGAAGTTATAAAATCAGGACCAGGAAAAAAAATAGTGTAGAAATTAAAATTATTACAACACAAGATGAATGGTACTGATAGAGTGCAATTCGACACTCCAAGGCAAAAGTTCAAAAAAATAAAATAAAATAATTTCTACTTCTTTAAAATCACTTTTCTATAAAATATTTCATCACTGCCGCCACTGCCTCACCATGCTGCCTCCACCCCCGCCACACATTTTTTCTTTTAATATTTTTCTGTTTGAGCATTCAAACGGTGTTTGTTTAATGAAAGCACTTTTTAATAAAATACTTTTAAAAAATAATTGTTTAAGAAGTGCTTTTTGAATTTTATAAGAAATCCTGAACAAAACCTAACTACTGTATGCAGTCATTCAAAGCATCCAATATGTCATAACGAACATCCTCATCAGGTTCCTGAAAGCCAAATGCAGTTCAAACAGATCAATATAAGAGCAAAAACTCCACTATTTAAAGTTCTAAAAAAAAATAAGTGAAAAAAAAAATATTATTTGACATTATTAAGCCTAAAAAATCAGGTAAGATAGACACAACTGACCTCATCTGAAGCTTCGTTTAAAGCACGTATGACCCTATCAGATAACTCCTCGACGTATTGCATAGCGTGATCATAGTCCTGTGGGTCGCTGCTTTCTACAACTTCTCTAGCTGAATTCAGTATCTTTGGCATGGCTATTGCACAAAGTAAAAAGACAGCATAAGAAAATTGACTAAGATCTACGCACACACGCGCGCGCTAACAGATAGTAACAATTCGAGTAAATTACAGTTTTACCCCTCTAAACTATTATCCTTATTTTATTTTGTACCCTTAACTATAAAATTTTTCACATTATATCAATTGGAGTGATATGAAATAAAATTGATACTTTAAGGTATAATATGAGAAATTTTATAGGTAAAGGTAAAAATGAAATAAGAGTAATAGTTCAAGAGGATAAAGTGTAATTTACCCTAATAATTCCAATCGGTCTAGTACCTGAAGCAGCAGCCATTCTAATTGCTTTGGCAGAATAACATTTCCGAGGTAGAACCAGTGCATCAGCAAGAAGTGGATCCGGATATAGTCGCCAAAATGGAATCAGTGCATCATCAACAGGTGGATCTTGACCCCATTTCAAAAATTGAACCAGTGCATCAGCAACCTAGATGATTTACAAATGTTTAAAAAACCACTGCCATAACGAATTTAACAAGGGATACTTAAAATTAGACGTATCAAAATTTACCCGACCAATCTCGGGAACAAGTAATTTCGTCAACTCATCAACACACAAGCACAGCACGCGACAAGCCATAGCCATAGCCTTTTCCATTTTATTTTCTCCATAATACCTACGTGTAATACCAACAACAGTGCAATAAAAATTAAAGTCGTTGAATTAAGAAAGTGAGTTTGGTTGGATAACAAGAAACATCACTATTCATGTGTTTGTGTGTGTATATTATATATATATATATAGAGAGAGAGAGAGAGATCACTTTAAAATATTAAAAATATCACTATTATGGAACTATATTTTGTTAGAACGATGTTGTAACCAACCGAGGAACATCTTTGTAAACTTGAGCAGCAGCAGCATCAAACACAGGGGACATGAGAATTTCCAGGACAGGGGAAAAATCCCGCTCTTCGTTTCTCCAAAGTTCTTCCCATGCCTGCAATACAAAATGACATTGAAGAAATGAAAAGACAACATAACAGGCTTCACTTACTGTCTGCTGGGGCAGTTAATATACTATGCACATTAATTATGATTGAAGAAATCAAAGGCTAACCACCAACAAAATATGGTCTCTACTAGTACCTCTGAAAACCTCGCAACCCTCCAAAACATCCCCCGCTCTGTAAAACAAATTCCCATCACGAACTCCTGGACTTCCTAAATTAAAAATGAACGACATATAAACTCCATCATGCCAGCTAATTAAATAATTAAAGTGGTTCTATGTACGTTGCCCACAAGTAATTCATGTGCATGCAATTTACATATCAATGTGGATAAAAGGCGATACCACGGTATCTCTTGTCACAATTCTATCATCCCCACGTACCCCCACCTCCACTCCTATTGGATCCACCCATCCCAACACCGACTCAAAACCTGAATAGTTACTTATTATTTTGCTAAATTAAGGAAAATGCAAAATTTAAATTTAAAATAGTTTTATGGGAATAGTTATATAAGTCATATGAAATGATTTAATTTGATAAGATCAATGCACTATTATTAAATCATTCAACATTATAAAAATCTATTACTTGATGAGGAAAGATAGAGAATAGTAGTGAGGAGTTTGAATGGGGTTGAAAGTTTAATCACAACAAACTTTTGAGTAAGTTGAAAACGGATAAAGAGAGTGAGAGACTGATATGTGCAAATTAAAATATATTTAAAAAAAAAAAATCTTAAAATTAGTATCTAAGTTTTAAAACTCATACAAGTACATTTAAATACAAAAACATAGGAAAAAAATATGCCAATTTTAGATTGAGATAATGAGTGTAAGATTTAGCCATACAGGGTCCAAAAAACGCTTATATTTGTTGTTTTTCGTAACATAAATGCATATGATTTATTTGACAATGGGCTGGTTGGGATATTGTACTTGCAATATTAAATGATGATATACCTTTGATACTATAAGACAACTCCTTATACTCCCATCCAAGTGTTCCCTTAGATTGTCCCGAGTGCAGCAATATTCACTGAAAACTAGAATTGCTGAAGCAGCACTGCCCTGCAGCATACATATAACAAAGAATCGACGTGAATTTTTTGTTGTTATAAAAGAACGAACATAGTTGATGAAGTTAATAAAACAAGGGCAAGGACGAAAACTACCAATAATGTTCACAATAATAACGATAATGACGACGAACACTAACAATGTCCATTATCTCCTGAGCCATTCATTGCATCTAATCACAAGAAATGAAAAACAAACAAAGAAGCAGTACCGAGCAAAATATAGACAAAAACAACATGAACGAAGTCATGCCTTCATAAATGGTTCAAGGTCCAAATAGCAGTAATTTACATCTTACAAACATAGCCCTAATAGGCAATGGCCATTATCAGCAGGATTGCACACCAGCCAAACATTTCTTGAAGTTAAATCTCCCCTAATACAACACCCGAATAAAGATGAACAAGAACTAGCAAACATCAAGCAAGTGGCAACAATTGCAAAGGTAGCTTCCCACATCATACAAAAATACAGTGAATAAAACTTACCTGGATGACACTGGACAATTCAAAAACTTAACTTCAATTGTAGCTTATCAATATTCTGTTGGACTAAAACAGATTTTAGTCATTAAAATTTGATTTTTGGTCAACTTTAAACTTAAATTAAAGTGGGACTCGCTCCTTACTTCAAATAAATTTTTGTGCGTTCGTGTTCTACTCCCTGAAGACAATAATGTGGTATATTTTCAATCAATGGGCTTTTGGTCCAATAGTATTTCTTGCCTTGTGAAGGCTTTGCCTTCTTGAGGTCAAGAGTTCAGGCCCTCCCCCTCCCCTCTCAAAAAAATAAAAAAAAAAGTTAAAAAATAAAATGGTATATTTTCTTGCTTAAATCTAGTAAGAAATGAATGAGAAAATAGGCTCCAAAGTTTCCCTTTGATTTATGGAAAGGGTGGGATTATTCCCACCCCATTTAATTTATTATTATCAAACTACAAAGCCCACCCCTTCTATACCCACCACATTAGTAACTAAGTTCACCCTGTGCTACATACACTCCATTAATAGTTAAGCTCACTTATTCTATGTATACCCCTTTAAATAAAGAGGTCATTGTAAGAAAAAAAAAAAAAAGAACGAAACAAGGAAAAAACAGAAAAAAGAAGTCAACCGAAATAAGAAGGAAAAAAAAACTAAGTAAAGATTGAAGGAACAAACAAAACTACGAGATGCAAAACCGAGTATAAATAAAAAAATAAACATCAAGCATAGATACAAAATCAAATAAGGAAAAAAAAAACAAATATTGATGCAGAACTTTAACAAGATAAAAAAAAACAAATAATTTGAAAGTATACATATATATACACGCATATAAATTTTAAATAAAAAGCTAATTAAATTTGACAGAAATATCAAAACATACCGAAAATAATAAAAATCTATATAACAAACATGAAATCAAACATAAAATTAATTTGAGCAGTAATATTAACTTGTATCTTATTGAACAATTCATATTGAAAAATAATTTTTGTGTGTGCATGTAATGAGATAGAGAATAAAGCTCTAATTATGACAAAATATAAAGTATGTTTACTTACTAAAAGGAGTGTGTGTAGTATAAGGTGAACTTAGTTACTAATTGGGTGGGTATAGAAGGGATGAACTTAGTAGCTTGATAATAAGAAATTAAATGGGGTGGGAATAGAAATTTGTGGGGGTAGGAATAGCCCCACTCTTACGGAAATAGAAGTTGTGCAATGTGGGATTTGACATGAATCCCACATTAGTTGGGAAAAAAATTCTACATGAGCATAAATAGACTAAGTTTGTTCTATGAGATTGGACACTAAGGCGTACCACAATTTTATAAGCGGAGTGAACGCTGCATGTCTTCAGTTTAATCACACACATGCGTTGCTCGCTTCGCCATGACCCGGCCTGGCCGGACACAAGTGTTGGTTAGACCAAACCTTATCTTTTTGAAAAAAAATTGTTTAAAGAATTGAGTGTAAAGTTCTTAATCCGAAATATAATTTCGGTACCCGTTGGATTTAAAGTTCACACTGATTCAAATTAGTGCTCCCTTTAGTAATAAATTTTAGTTATATCTGTTCAAGAGTAAACAGTAACACAAAATGGTATCTTCTGAAACACGGCAGAAGAAATTGTTTTATTTCCAAACTTCACCTTCAACAAGCGTAGATTTATTTTTATCCCGATCCCAAATCATGTGTCTTTTTAGGTACTTTGGCAGATTATCAAGGTTAGTACAAACATACATAAGAGTTAGGTTAGTCCAGTTCAGTTGATTGTGTAATATCGAAGGTGAAACATCTGAAGGTGAATGAATAAGATTAGCCTTCTAGTGTGCCTCCGAAGCTATACTGGGTCTAGCTGACTGACCTTCTATCTAAAGCGTGTTTGTCGTCGTGGCCTTCAGATGATCTCTTTGCTGGCTAGTCTGATCTCATGTGTACCCAGTGCCTAACCTTATTCTCCAAGTCACCGATATTGCCTATGGAATTTCCGCTCCAAAATGGAGAGTCTTGTCTGGGTTGTATCCGTTCGACATGATGACTGTCCGGATCACTCATTATTCTCTCTACACCCAGATTAACTCTATTATGCATCATTGAATTTTGGCATTTAAGGCAATCTCATATAGTCCTATTTTCGGCATTAGCAGTTCGCATTTGAGAGTACACAACACAATTTCTAGTTCTCTGGGCAAGTAGATTAGAGTACTATCTCTATTCACGTGAATACCATTATATGTTGAGAGACAAACACTTTGATTTCTATAAGCACCAAGTGTACATCTAAAGGTGAGTGAACAAGATTAGCCTTCTAGTGTACCTCCGAAGCTATATTGGGTCTAGCTGACCGACCTTCTATCTAAAGTGTGTCTGTTGTCGTGGCCTTCGGATGACTTCTTTGCTGGCTAGTCTGATCTCTTGTGTACCCAATGCCTAACCTTATTCTCCAAGTCACCGACATTGCATGTGGAATTTTCGCTCCAAAAAGGAGAGTCTCGTCTAGGTTGTATCCGTTCGACATGATGACAGTTCGGATCACTCACTATTCTTTGTATACCCAAATTAACACCATTATGCATCACTGAATGTCGACATTTAAGGCAGTCTCATATAGTCCTATTTTCGTCATCAGCAGTTTGCATTTGAGAGTACACAACACAATTTCTAGTTATTTGGGCGAGTATATTGGAGTACTACTTCTATTTGCGTGAGTATCATTGTATACTGAGAGACAAACGCTTTGATTTCTATAAGCACCAAGTGTGGCGGTAAAATTTGTCTTAAAAACATAATGTCAAACACTAGTCTTGATGGTTAGGTACTATGGAAGAATGGAGGACTCTACGAGCTTGCAAGAGGAACTTTGGGCAATCCGGAAGGGCCTTGAACTCGTCCAAAGTAGAGGGTTAGGACCAGTGATGGTAGAAAAAGATTCCCTCGAGTTATCAAATCTTCTTGTTTTTAAGCCACAAGAAACACACCCCAGCAAAGCACTCATTGCCAAGTGTTTTCAACTAATGGAGACGAACATAATACATATTGTGCATACACGCAGGGAAGGAACACCAGTGTGCTGATTTCCTTGCTAACTTGGGAGTCCAACAAGAAGATGCCATGGTGGTTCTTGAAGATCCCCCACCTCAACTGGGGAGACTGCTGAATACAGATTTAGCTAGTGTTGCATTTACTAGAAAGTCTATTTAGTTTTGGTTTAATTTTCCAATGTACCAAAAAAAAAACACTAGTCTTGATTTGAAGAAATTTCAATAACAGTTCCTGATCTGCAAACGAGTTAGTTTATATATTGGTTTAATTACAAATTTATGTGTAATTATTTCGTACATACTTAGAACTGCTTCATGCATACTAGTATAACTATTTCGTTCTTGACTGTTAATATTTATTCTAAGTTGCATGATATAAATACGAGGTTTTAATAAGTAATTTTATTATATTTGGAATACCACAAACAACAAATTCAAGAATGTGATGTAAAAAATAGATCCAGTAACAAAAAGGGAGCAGTAGAAGAAGGAAGGGCTAAATGAACAAATGCTTCCAAAACATTCATGACCCCCACTCAACAATTAACAAACCTCTTAAACATGTGTAGTCGTGACATACATATAATGCTTGCACAATTAAACTACATGATCCCCACTCAACAATTAACAAACCTCTTACACATGTAATATGCAATGTTAAAGTACAAATTCATAAGTTTCACATTCCCTAACAGTTTAAACTTTTAGAATAGATAATTGTTTAATATAGTATCAGAGCAGAAGTCCAGTGTTAAGGTCTCGTCGCCACCAGATCATAATTTTTTTTTCATGTGCTAGACATAAAATCTAGCCTATATATAAATATCATCATATGTAAAAAAATAAATACTTGAGTTACATTCTTCCTAACAACTTAAACTTTTAGAATAGACAATGATTCAAAACAATAAAAATAAATATCATCATCGAGTGATCTCTTCTTTCATAAAAATGGTAGACTATAATTTGCATACGAAGGGCAATTGAATTGTACTTGTCCGTGAGATAGACAACTAGTACTTTTATGAACAAAATTTTATTCCTTCATATTTAGGAAAAATAGCTCAGGAAGTGTTGGACAAAAATTGATTTTTTTTTTTTTTTGGTAGACTTTGAGCCTATATTAAAGTGGGACTCTCTTATGAGTTTGAATAATTTTTTTTGAGTTCGTGTTCTATGTATTCCGCGAGAAGAATTACGTAATATATTCATTTGTTCAAATTGAGTAAGAGCTCAATGAGAAAATAGACTATAACGTGATACTCTTAGAATGTGGAAATAAAGGTTGGGGCAAAGTGGGATTTGACACTAATTTCACATTGGTTGGGCAAAAATACTTAAGTTGCACTTTGGGTTTCACCTTCCATTATGCAATTGAATCAGTTTTATGTATTACTGTTTTACTCTTAATTGTATGATTTATATAAAAAATATCAATAAGTATTTTGCGTACATGACACATCCTCCTAACAGAAAGAAGGAAAAAGCTTGTCATCTATGTTAAAAGAAAACAACTAAAATGTGGATTTCCTCATAAATGTTTAGAGTCCATTAATTCGTTGAAAAGGTTAGCAAGATTGAGAGTCATGTCCCAAACAAGTTCAAATGCAGAGTAAAAGTACATAAATAAGCCCACTAACCCGCATTTCTTGAATTGGGGAGTCATTCATCACTTCAGCTAATGCAGGCAACACGAGGTGACATCCGACTTGTAAGTGGTTGCCCAAATCTGTAGCCAACTTCTTAATTGCACGAATAGATGCATTCTGCACGACAGTGTCGTCATCTTTAAATAAGCTCAAAAGCATCGACATTACTTGTTCGAAATTTATTCTCATCACCTGTGTCCAAAAAATGAAAAATTAAAAAAATTTATCCGAAAAATCTCCGATCCATAATGATGTTTGACAATCAATGGATCATATTAAATTGTCAGCATTGGACTAAAACTAGAGAGCACTCCTTGACTCCTTGTCATGCACGGATTTTTTATTTCTTCTTTCCATCGTCTTACCTCCAAATCCTCTTCAACTCTAGGGAAGTGTGAGTAGACCTAAGGGGGCCATGCCCCCCCCCCCCCCCCTCTGCCCCCCTCTTTCAAATTTTAAAAATTACCATTCTTCCCCCTATATTTTCAAAAAAAATTATTGGTAACCTCTAATTTTCCAAAACACCCAATATTTAAGTTTGTCACTTAATGTATTCAAAAAGATCAATGAATTTAGTAACCATTTAGAATGTAATTAAATGGATGAGTGTCGTTTGTACTAACGAAAACACTTGTTAGATTATTTTGATGATCCGGAGAAAAAATAAGTGATTTTTTTGCAACCATAATTTATTTATAGACATAAAGTTAGATTATAAACAAGAAAAAAGAGGATGATAATGTTGTCACAAATAAAATTTTATGATGGTATGATCCAATTTTTGAGTTTTGTGCTCAAAATTAATTTTTTCAATGACATTACATAAAAATTAAATTTAATAGGTTTTTCATAAATAAAAATTTATCATTAACAATGACGATTGAATAACCTCATTGAATTAAATTTTTGTCATAAAATTTTGGTTCACTCTAATATTACTAGACAAATACATATTAATGTGTTAAAATGGAATTCATTAAAATAAAAAGAAAATGCTTCTCTTTTCTGTTAAGAGAAAACAAGTAAAATTTGGACGCACTTATAAAGTACATAAATAAGCCCACTAACCTCCTCATGCAAGCGAGAGTGTAATAAATGTTTAAGTAATTGCTGAATTGCTTCAATAGCTGCACACCGCACGCGACGGTGGGCATTTGGAAATGGACTCAAAACCATTGGCACTGCTTGTGTCAAATTTTCTATCTTCACCTGTGCCTAGAAAATGAAAATAAGTCTTTAGAACATATCTTAGCATTAAACTAAAACTAACTGGCACCTCGTGCCATCGCCAAATTTGTTAAAGAAGTGGGGGAAGAATTTAATTGGAATGAGGTAATTAAGCATTTAGAAAGAGAAGTCTTCTCATTCTTAAATTGATTATTTTTTATATAGAGAGAGAGAGAGATGTAATGAAAAACAAATAGAAAATAAATTGTGAAAGACAACCGATCACAAAACATAAATTAAAGTAATAACAAGAAAGCAATTAAGTGAAATGACGTCAAAAACTCAACTCCTTTGTTTTGTTTTTTTGACCAAAAACACCATGCGGTAACAACAAAATAAATGTAAAAACAAAAGCAATTATAAAAAGCAAAGCTCAGATACCTCACGGCAAATCTCTATACTCTGTGCGAGCACAATGAATGCGTTATACTTCTTTTGCCACTCAGCAGCTTTCAAATACGCCCGTAACACTTCCAAAACAATAGAAAACATATCATTCCTACGCGTCGCAATAAACAGCATATCCAAACATCTCCTCCAACGCCAATGATTACTTCTCTCCCATGCAGACACATAATCCGCATTATGATCATCATCATTAATATAATCCAACATTTTCATCAAAATTTCAAACAACTCCCTCACATTCTGCTGCAGCCAAGGCGCTATCTCCTCGACCTTCACCAATTTCGAAAGGAACTCAATGGCCAAACGCCTCGTCCCTACGTTCAAACCATCATTATTCGCAATCTGCCACATTCTCTTCACCCACTCCTCAATTTGCCCCACCAAAAACCTCGGTTCCGCCAACTCTATCAACAACTCCAACACCTCGCCGGCCATCGCTTCGTCCCTATCCTCCAACACTTTCTCCAACATGGACAGCATCGAAGTCAACAAGTCCGAACACTGAGAGAAATTAATTGCGGCCCCCAAAGCTGCAACACGCACATCCCATTCTATCTCTTTTAACAAACACTGCCATAAAATTGAATGCAACTTATCATCCAAGCCAAAAAATCTTAAAAACAGAAATATATTTGATATCAATTAATTTAAAAAAATGGTGGGAATGGTTATTAATTAAAAAAAGTGATTAAAAATTTAAATTTAAAGTAGTTTAAAAAAAAATGATGGGAATAGTTACAAAAGTCACAAGCATTTTTTTTTTTTGGGAACCAAAATCTCCATATGGTAATAGCAAAATAAATGTAAAAACAAAACCAACTATGAAAAGCAAAGCTCTAATACCTCCCGACAATTCCATGTAATTATACTCTTTGAGAGCGCAATGAGTGCGGCATGAGTGCGCTTTTGCCCCTCAGGAGCAGCCAAATACGCCGGAAACACTTTCAAAGCAACAGTCCAATTACCATTCCTATACGGCAAATTCGTTAGCATATCCACACACCCCTGCCAAGACCCATAGTTATCCGTCTCCTCATTATTGTCCCACGTCTCCTCCATATTAATTTCAAACTCCGTCCCAAGTTTCAGCTGCCTGGGAGTCGTTCTCTCAACCTCCGCCAATGTTAAAACGAACTGGACCAATGTCAAAACGAATTCAATGGCCAAACGCCTCGTCTCTTTCTCCAAACTATGATCATCGACCATCTGCAATATTGTCTTCACCATCTCCACAATTTGTTTCCTAAAAAACGTCCGCTTCATTCCTGCCAAATTTATCGTTTCATTCCCACTATACAACGCCTTCAACGTAGACATCATCGCTGTCAACATATCCTGAAAATTGACCAAATCTTTTTGTTCTAAACGTAGAATGAAATTAATTGCGGCCTCCAACACCGTGATACGCACATCCTCCCCTCTGTTGTTGTTTTCAAACACTGCAATAAAACTGAATGCAACTCCTTATTCAAGTTAACTGAATGCATCTCCTTCAGTCCCTCTGCTAAATGAGCACCAATCAACAACGCCCTCTCTTTATCAGATTTTACAAGTTGAAATAAAAAGGGTAAGAATTCGGGCCATTCTTTTTTAGGTAAAAGAGAAGCTGCAAGCGCTGATACAGTGTGGCAGAGTTCTTTATTGATTGGTCTTGTAGGTGTGTCAACGGATGTGTCAATTAATTTCAAGAGACCGAGTTTTAGAGTCGATTGAGTTTCGGTAGGAAAACGGCGGAAGGGCGCGTAATTTTTTTTGACGAGAGTCATGCCAAGGAGGTCGGCGGAAATGGTACATGAGTTGAGATCTAGGTGGGAGGAGGAGAGCACGCGATAAAGCTTGTTAGCGAAGAGATGTGGGTCGGGTTTATTTGCGCAGATTTCGAAAATCGACATGGCGTCGGAGCGCGTGTCGTTGGAATCGGACATAAAATCGGTGATTAGCTCTTCCAACTTGTCGGTTTCACCGGATTCGCAGATGGCTTTGGCTTTCGCATTCTTTTCAAGCATTGTAAGTCCCACCATGGCTGAGTTGGAATTTTGGATAGGAGAGAGATCAGAGATGGTAGATGAGGCGCTTGCTCTGTTTGGGTCAGCTGACAGTGGAAGAAAGGTTTACCTTAGAGAGGGAGATAGAAGAGGATGGAGGGGAAGGTCCAACGCGTACCCCCCCCCCCGACTTAAAGGCTGATGATTAAACCAAACATTATTCAGATTTATTATTTAAACCCGTTTGCAATCTTGAAACTTTATTAATAAAAAAAAAAAATAACATCATCCAGCTAACATTTACTTCTCACATCAACAAAAAAAAAATTATTAAAAATTTATAATGTTTATCCTTACACGTCGTCACTGATTCCATCTTAGACTTTGTCTTTTGTTTCCCTCTCATTTTCTACACTCTCTGACACCTCCAAATACCGCCTTATGTTATGTCTTTCAATTTTATTATTATTTCTCCATACAACTTTCCTTCCCAACTTATTTATATGCTTCCTCTGTTGATTGCATTATTAGACCATCTTTAATTTTGATTCAACCCAATATTTACGTAAAAAGATTGATTTGATATAAAACAATAAACAAACTCAAATATAAAAAAAGGACAAATTTAAATTTAAAATAATATTAAATATGAATATTGAATCTTTAAAAGAGAATAAAATTTGATCATTAAAGATTTGAGTAAAATTTAAATCTTACTTAATTTGGTATAAGTTTGAAAAAATGGATTGAAAGTTGCTTTTACTCAAATTAAAATTTGAATCAAGGTTTGTGGCTATTCTTATTTAAATATTTTGTAAAAATTAATCAAAATCAAAGTAAATAAAAAGGCAAGAGATTATGAATTGTTACTAAAATGATGCAAATGAAACATTAAAGTCTAAAATGAGACAAATTTTCATACATTAAAAATCTCCATTGCAATTAACCCTAAAAAAATTCCAATTGTTGACCCACTGATTCCATCTTTAGATTTTTTGTCTTTTGTTTTCCTCTCATTTTCTCCTCTCTCTACCCCTCCAATACTGCCTTAAGTCTTTAATTTTAATATTATTTCTCTATATACCCTTACTTTCCAACTTATTTACAGGGTTTCCTCCGTTGATTGCGGTAGGCCATCTTTAATTTAGAGAGAATTCACTTTATTTTTACAAAAGTAATTCCGTGTTGGGCCTCTATTTGATGACTTTTTTTGGCATCAAAGAGCAGTACAAAAGTTAGGTTCGTTGATGTTTCGCTTGAATGAAATTTGTTTTTTTTATATAAAATGTCAATTAGAAGAAGTAATTTTAGCATTACAAATCATGATAATTTTTTCCAATGAATTTTAATGTTTCTAAATTACTTTTCCAATGAAGTAATTTTAATGTTGCAGCCACCCCCACGCTCACCTACCTTCACCATACTTACCACTGCTGCCATGTGTCACTATTCATCACACTATCACCTAAAAGCATTTATCATCGCCCATCACCACCATCGTCACCGCCCACCACTATCATCGCTCATCACCACCGTCGTCGTCGAACTACAACCATCGCCAACCATCATCATTGTCGTCCATCACCACCCACACCAACCACCACCACCGTCGTCACCCCGCGGCTACCACTACCATCATCGTCACCCAAATCCACCACCACCATCATCGTTGTAATCCACAATTGCCACCACCACCACGGTTGTCACCACCCACCACAACCATTACCACTGCCGCCCACCATCACTAACACCGCTCACCCCTTTTATAATTGGTACTTAAATTTCTTTATCTCTTATTTATGTTTGTAATTTGATTTTAGATGTGAATACAAATATATTTATTGTTGACCATTTTTTTATTATTTCGTACATTCAGGACGAGAATAATAAACTAGTTCTTTCATATGTTAACTAATAGTTAATCTTGGAAGTATGGAGTTACAATGTTATATTCCTTTACAGATTGAATGACTACAGAGACGTTTGAACATGGAGCTCGAGTTGAACATGGTGCATACAGAAATATGTATGATGCTCTTCATAAGATTTTACCGAATTGCCCCCAATTATCCTAAGTAATTTTCAACAAATTCACTCTAACTACCACTTATTTTGATTTTTAAATCGATCTCTAGTTTTGTCATAATTCAATTAGTGTGAGTGTAATCTCCCATATAATTTTAGGGTCAGCCAATTCTCATCCCATTTAATGCTCTTATTTTAAATTACTAAGTCCACCCCCCTATTAATGATTAAGTTCACCTCCGTATTCATCCAAGAAATTGAAACAAAAATAGTAATTAAAATGAAATTTCAATTTTTGAGATGATCTAGAATATTTGAAGGTATTTTGAGATATTTTGATATATTTTTATTAATGTTTTCAAAATATTTTAATGTGTTTGAAGATATTTTAGTATATTTTGACTAATATTTTAAAAATGAATTATTTATTTTTATTATTTTTCAAAAATATTTTTTTACTAAAATAATACACCAAAATAAAATTTTAATCATAATTTATATAGTAAGGTTAAAATAAAATAAAATGAATTTAATTTTAATTAGTGAATATAAACATGATGAGTTTAGTAACTGATGCGAAGAACTTAATAGTTTGAGGTAAAATGATTAAGAGTAATACTATTTGTACCTAAAAATTTAACCTAATTTACTGATATAATGATGTGACTTCAGCAGAACAATTGGATCAATACCAAATTTTAATATTTGATAGGTCCCATAGTCAATTCAAATGTCATAGTAGGTTATGTCAGCAAATTAGGTCCCAATAACATTATTCACTGATTATATAAGGTAAAAAAAGAAAGAGGAGATTTAAGGGCGAAACCGTTAGTTTTATACTACTAATACAAATTTCCGTAAATAGAATTATAATCTAAACGTCGTCGTAACAGCACTTAAAAAAACAACCGTCCCAAATCAATGACCCGTCGGGTCGAGTGAATATCATCGTCAGGGTATAAAAACCTTAAGGCGGTTCCAAACTGACAGTCAATACGTCAAGCTCCTCTGTTTTGCCGGCGAATCAGCTCTGACTAGTGATCATGTTCTCCGATGTCTCTTCTTCGCTGGTCCGCCTAAACATCGGTGAGCAGCGATTCTCTCTCTCCCTCCCTGTTTTTGTGTCTGTTGGTGTATGTGTGTGTGGTGGGCAAATTGGCTTTGAATTGATCGATTTTTTCGGTAGTTGGAACCCTAACGAATCATGATCAAATGATGAAAGTTTTACCACACGCACAGTGGGAGACAGTTCAGATGCACATATTAACCCTGATTATGTGTTTTGAAGCTTGAAATTGTCGACTTGTAAATGGGTTTTGGTGAAAATTAGATCAGTTTTTGAACTAATTTGTTTTTTAACTCACAGGAGGAAAGAAGTTTTGCACGACGGTTGATACACTGACCCAGCGGGAGCCTGAATCGATGCTTGCGGCAATGTTCAGTGGTCGCCACACTATCTGCCAGGATTCTGAGAAGGTATATATGCACACACAAACACGCCCATATTCTACATTTGTTAACAGCCTATTTTATTTGTGTATTTATTTCCTTTTAATCGCATTACGTCTACCTTTTTCTGATCAGCTATTGCATTATGTCTACTGTGCTGTTTACATATTATTTTCCCCTATTATAGGGTGATTTCTGAATTTCTTTTGGCTCCATTTTACCCTTTGCATTTGAGAATCCTTGTATCTTGCTATTTTTCTCCATTGCCCATTCTCTTTTTTCTCTTTATTGAATCATTTTAGTGAATTGGACGTAAAGATTTAGAGTAATAACTTGTTTTTGTGTGTGTATGTGTACTTTGTGGGTGAGGAGGTGTTATGAAGCTTCCACTCTGTGACTATCCCTTGTTTCGGCCTTCTTTGTTGTGCTCTAATATTTTTTGCCTGTGTTTCTCAGCCAGTTATATACAAATTAGCCTTATTTTTTCTGAGTCTATTATGTCCAGTGGAAAATAGCCCTTGCAAGTTGGATGGTTATGAATTTTCGGAAAGACCTCTCTTACCCCTTTTGACTAGTAAGAACAAAGCTGGTCTCTTTTCGACAGGGCATTTCTTCCATTCTCTTGTCTGAGGTTTTGTACCCCTTAAAATTCTTTTCCTTTGTCATTAAATTATTTCAACCACAAATCTACTTTGACGAGAAATCCTCTTTATGACTAACCAAAGTTTATTGTTTGAAATCACATTTAAAAGACTTGTCCTCTTTTGTTACTGCCAATTGTGGTGTAACATAGGGCTGGGTTCAAAAAGTATCTGAAAGACAATCATCATTGGAATGTCCTATAAAACATAGCCAATTATTATATAAAGTACTTACCTTTGAAACGAGATCAAAGGAGTTGACCTTTTGTCTTTTCCATCTTTTCTTTTCTGTAGGTTTCACCCAGTCTAAACTTGTTATTTCTCAGAATAAATTTATTGGTTGTCCTATGTAAGGTATTAATGTGTGATTATAACTCATTCTTGTAAAGGTGGCCTTTGAGCATAGTTTGTCACTTTCTTTGAGCAATGGAGCCATTACGATTTGAATAGATCATGTGGGTCCAATCTTCATGGATAGGTTCTGCCTTGTGACTTTAAGGATCATATGTTTAGATTGCAATTGTTTGGTTTCTTATTGACTGCGGTTTTGCGTATTGAGTTCATCTTTAGTGAGCCTCAATGTTTTTGCTATTGTATTTCTGTACCTAATCCCTCCAGTTGACCATATGAGTCCTATGCTCTTGTTTGACCTTATTGAATTCTTGTAGGGGTATGTGTTTCTGGATAGAGATGGGAAACATTTTCGGCATATTTTAAATTGGTTGAGGGATGGTGTTGTTCCAACACTAAATGATTCGGAGTATTTAGATCTTTTGCGGGAGGCAGAATACTATCAGCTTCTCGTAAGCCATTCTTTTACCTACTTTAATTATTTCTATATGTCTCAGTTGTAATTCAGTCTCAAACACTGTTGCTGACTCAGCCTGTCCCAGTGTTTGTTGTTGATCAATGACATGTTCA